AAAAGGTTTAATAAGGTGTTGTGATCATATTTCAGATAGATTTTGGTGCATTTGTGACTCGTCAAGTATGTAAATTATTATTTTGCTAATCAGAACTATACTTCCTTCACGTTTGCTGTTGCAGTGTAGTCGTATAGAAACGTATTATCTACAAGACAGGGTTCATCCTCTGGGGAGCAGAACTACGATAACCAAATCACAGCCACTGGTTCATAGATTACTTTAACGTTTACTTTAAGTTTACTTTTCTAACACCTGTTTCTGGAAAGACTCTGCTAAGATAACAACCCTTTCATTAGGCTGTCCGTTGAGATAAAATCCCCGCTCGACAATTATAGAGTTCTCATCTTTGAAGCCTCGTAAAAGTGAAACATGAAATGCATTCATGAGGACGCGGCGCATTCCTCATGTCAGCGTCCGATCTGTTTATCAGTCCCTTCCATGCTCAGCCTCCTGTCAGGCTCTCGAAGCAGTCGGAGTTATTTTCTCTACCAGCTAGTATTTTTCAGATCTTATTGAGCTCCTTATCGGGACACTCTGTGACAGTCTCGACTGCTTGACAGATGATTTGTTCTCTGTTCTTTGTCTGCAGTGACGACGTTGGGAGACCTTTTTGACTTGTTTTCAGTCATCAGGGCCGCGGAGTCGTCTGAATACGTTGCAGAAACCCAACAATGCGACATTCTGTTTATATAACGGGCTCATTTTGTAAAGTAGGGTCCGGTACATGTTGTGTAGAAGTGCCTGTTGTAGAAGTGTACTACATATTATATCTTATCACAGCATTAATTAAATGTCATTATTCTGGTGTCAGTGACCTTTCATTAGCCTGGAGGTACAAAAAAGACATTTTCTCCAGCTGACAGCTCCTCCTTCCTTCCTCCTCCTTCCTCCTGCTGGATGTGTGTTTCCACTCGGAGATGTGGAGTTTTTATAGTTTTTTTAGCCCGGCCTGACACATGTGCTGACCGCTGGCACTGCATCTGAATGTGTTGATGTTTATCATGATAATGGGACAGATTTCATTTCACTTTCATACACGGCCCACAGCGCAGCATATGTAAAACAACAGACAGGAATAGACGTGATTATTCTGGATTCCACGGGCTGACTGAAGACTGAAGACCAGCGACGCAGAAGAAGACTGAGGAGCACTGAGCTGGAAGTTGTTTTTTTTTCCCGTCTTCATTATCACCTCATCCTTCTTTTTCTAACTTTTTTTTAAAAGTTATTGTTTTTTGTTTTTTTTATGTCACTGCATGTATTAGCCTGGCATACCACAGTTATTTTCAGATTAAGTTGGCCTTCTCAGAAATGGCATTCATTTGCATAAGTGTTATATATAAATGTTTTTATGGACAAAAAAAGACTCCGGTGCAAGAGTTCTGGTTTATTTTTTATTTTTTTGTGTGGGGAGTATAAAAACCATGGTGATTGGGAGGTTCTTGAAAAATTATAGTAAATAAAGTTAATGTTACGATAATTATAATATACTTTTGGAGGCTTTCATTATGCTTTAATGAATATAAACACAAAGAATAATTTTGTTGTGGATCCAGTGGGTTAGGCTGTGGGCTACGGCGCTGATTTTTTTTAACACATACAGGCACATTTTAAAGTAAATACACAATTAGATAGCTGTCACTGGATTAGTTTGAAGAAAACTTAAAGAACATGCTTTTTCTCAACCAAGTTTTTGAGTTTTAGGGAGCATATTTTTTCTAAACTGATTTCTTTGTTTGCAATAAAAATTAAAAAGTTGTGAATTGTAGAAAGGTGGATTTATGGTTTCATGTTGGCGTCTAGCTCCCTGCATACACAGAGTAAAGGATTATGGGAATTCAACCACTGCCGAGGCTGCAGAGACGCGTTCGACAATGACGTCATGCGTAAATCAAATGCTGATTGGTTGAAGGTGGCCTCGAACCAGGAAGTGTTAAGACCTGCTTGTGATTGCAGTTATCTGACGTCATTGTTTATATCACTTGGTTTCTTTCCGTTATGCTTCAGTATGACTGCTGTGTTTTCTGCAGAAGGGACAAAAGACAAAGGCCGAACAATTGTGGTCGCATGTTTGACCTTAAGTCAGTAAAAGTATGTGTGTCATGTGTTGAGATCTGACAGATTTATAACTCAAAGGAGAAATGTGTGTGTTTTTTAAAGAAAACTACAATCTCAAGTTCTTTTCCTTTATTGATTCACCCCTTCACCATCTATCCCTCCTACTCACACATCCCCTTTTCCTTCATTTTTCTTTTGCGTCTCCATTTTCCCCCTCCTCTGCCTAATTTCTCTTATTTTGTCTTTACCTTTACTACCTCCTCTACTCATTCTTCTGTTACTATAATTTCATTTCCTTCCGTTTTTCCCCTCCTCTGTCTAATTTCTCCTTTTTTGTCTTTACCTTTACTACCTTGTTTCTCCTCTACTCATCCTTCTGTTACTATAATTTCATCTGCTTCCCTCCTTCTTCTCCTTCCTTATGTCCTCTCCTCCTTCACCTTCCTCCCTGTCCTGCTCTCCGCATGTTGACAGACCTTCACAGATGATATAAAAAGACAGAAACAGAGGAAGATGCTGTTGTGTTTTCACCTCCTCCTCCTCCTCCTCCTGTGTCGCCTCCTCATCCGTCTCTCTTCTTCTTCTTCTTCTTTGGTCTCCCTGAAGTGAAGTTTCCTCTCTTGTTCAGGCTGTTGTCTCCTTCGCTGCCGTGAAGCGACACAGAAGCCAAAACAACAGCGAGCGTCGAAGCGCCTTCAAACCGAACAAATCCCTCCTCAGAACCAGGCAACATGAAAAAAATAACAACAAAAAAAAAAAAAACGACATGAAGAAAAAGAGTCGACTCGTAGATGCAGACAAACATACGTGTGTGTTTGTGTGCGTATTTTTGACTGGGCCGACGGGAGCTCCCGCTGCGCGTGGCCGTGTGATCTTCTGAAAGTTTACTTGTTTTATTTTGGAGGAACCTGTCTCTCCTCGGCTCTTGTCTTCTCTCGCAGCAAGGCGGAGATGAAACGCGAGAAAACACGACAGACGCTGTAGAGAAATGTCACCTCGTCCCCTTTAGGCTGAGAGCTGCTCGGCTTTCGCGCCGTCGTCTGAACAAGTGCAGCTAGCTTAGCTAACAAGCTTTGGTGCCACAAAGCGGGAACAACAATGGCGCGGAAACAGCAACTAAAATACACAAAACTGTTGTTTGTAGAGTTTGTAAAAGCGGCGCGGAAATAAATGAAAAAACATTAATGGAGCTCAATTTAGGCTCAAAATGACAATTTAGCGCCTGATGTTGTTGCTGGCAAACTTGTGAAAGCTTCAACAAAGGATCGAGTACAGAAGATAGCAGGAATCAAGGGTTGGATTTTAAATGGGATCCACAAAATAGTGTTTGATTCCCTCATTTGGATAATATGCACTTTTAATTTTCACCTACTCGGCTCTGCAAAGCTTTTCGGACTCTTTTAGGTCCAAGTTTTGGTTTGGAGTGTGATATGTGATTAACCCATTGAGCTTTACCTGCTCAGTGCCAAACAAAATTCTTATATATCGTCAGTAGGTTAATTCTGCAACCCCATAAATCTGCGATAATGTCAACGTAGAGCAGATTGAAAACCAGCCTGGTTCTGCATTGTACACAGACTATTCTAATTATTCAAACAGGGCCTCGGATCTGCTAATAATGATCTTAGGTGGCAAAAATCTCAAATCCCCAACCACCGGGCCGCGGACCGGTACCGGGCCGTGGGTCATTTGGTACCGGGCCGCACAGATAGAATAAAAACGTTTTATTGTTTTTTTTTTTTTTATCTCCAGCGGAGTCTGCAGGGTGTTTTATTTTGAAACATGACTAGCTCGTCTTCCCGTCACTTCCGTTTGTGTTCGTTTCCCGGACTTGACTGTCAGTTTTGATGCCCGACTGCTAAACGAAGCCGTCAGTCAAAAACAAACGTCTCAGGAGAGCTGCTTTGGAAAGTGGGAGAGACTCAATACTGAGACAGAAGAAAAAGTAAACATGTTAAGCAATAAACTTTACATTAACGCATTAAAGCATTAAACTTTTCAATAGAAAAAAAACAATTATTGTTTGTTATGTGCGTAATGACCGGTCCGTAGAAAAATTTCTTGCTTAAAACCGGTCCGTGGTGCAAAAAAGGTTGAAGACCACTGGTATAAAACACCAGTTCTGAGGCTCTTTGGTGTGAATTTTTAATAGTTTGTCTTGAAATAAATGGTGGATGAATAGTTGGTGAACATTGTGGAACATCTGGGACCTGAGCAGCCTCGTGTATTTCTTGGGGGTTGGTGGAGACCAAAAATAGAGCTAAAAAGAGAGTGGATTTTCTTAATCATTACATTCATCAGGGGAACATAAATATTGGGATGATTATGTTGCCCTGTATCTTCCCAGCAGCAGAGCATAGCAACAGTAAAATGTCATACAAGTTTCGGAGCAATGTGTTTTTGCAGGTTTGGATTAAGAAGGTAGCGTTAAGTTAGTCAGTGTGAATTGAAACAACAAGTACTTTGATTCAGTACAACTCTAAGCGATGGTAAAATGAAAGACGTTTTCCAGGCTTTTTATATTTTGTTCTGCTTCAGTGTTCAGTGGTTTTTTTTTTCCTTTTGTTCACAGCAACTTACATCAAGTTCATTTCATCTCCATAGGAACAAGAGTTACAGATTTCACACATTTCTGAATGCATCTCAGCCGAGTTATGCGAGTCAAAGTGAGGTTGAAATTCAAACAAGAAAAGCCACAATTATCACAATGTAGAGAGGATGAAATGTGGTGTTTCAAGATGTGCACGTAGTGACAATACAACAAAACATTTGGGGGTGAACAGACGAAAGACTAAATGTGATGAGAAATGTATTCAGTTTTGCAGCAACCACACAAGCAGTTTTTAATAAATTAAAAACCATTTAATTACAGGCAACAATAACTTTATTCTACACTAAATACATAACTGGTCCTCCTCTCGTCTTCTTCCCTCCTCCAGGTGACGAGTGGTACCTGTGCAGGTTGACTCTGAGCATGCCCAGTCAGGCCGACCTGCAGTGGGCCATGTTCCCTTCACCTTACCTGGGGGCCATCAGTCCTGATGCCACGCCTGGCTCCGTAGTGTACCGGCTGTTGGCACGGCAACGAGACGGGTCGCTGGGACAAGCCCACTTCGTCCTGCTAGATGGTGAGTGTTCAATTTTGGTTCATTTATTTTACTTATGCAGATGCAATTGTTTGGTATATGTTGATGTAATTATGCGATCAAAAGTATGTGGTTGTCTCTGTCATTGTTTCCTCCCCTGATTTGGACCATATAAGCTCTAAGTCAGGTTTTTGAATTATGCTCAACCATTGCACATCCTGTTCTACTGTCCACATACTTAAGGCCTGTAAAGCCTACCTACTGCACAGTGCTCAAGCCCTCAGAATACATCCGTCAAGACGTTATAAAGAACCTTTAGTCGAGTAAAATAAAGTTCAAAATGCATGAAAAGGTCTTTCAAATTCCCCTCACTCCTCCGTTATTTACTCAATATGTGTTTTTTTTGTTTGTTTTTTTTTATTACCTACCCCAGTCGAGCCTCCCTCTTTTTTCCAGTCAATTTCGCCTAAAACTTGTCATGTGTTTGCTCCTGCTCTTATCTCCCGCCTGTATCTGTAATTAGGTCCGCTGCTGCTCTGCCAGGCACTTTGTGACAAACCTGTTTTGCTCAAAGGAGCGATTTATAAATAAAATTTGACTTGTTGAATTTCAATTACTGTCAAGTGGGAGAGGGAGAGAAAAACGCACATAAACAGCATGGAGCTGCGCTGTTAATCGCTCCCTGGGGCAAAGAAAGCTCCCAGATTCAGGAATAATAGGAAAGTCTCTGGAGAGGCAGCGAGTGGGAGAGTTGTAGGGTGGGCGGATGGGCGCCGGTGGCTGTGGATTTTTTATTTTTTTTATCGGAGAAAAGGAGAAGGAAGGAGGAGGAAGGAGTAGGGGAGATATTTTGAGAGCTAATTTCTAATGCTTTCATATTAAAAGCGTCTGACTTCCCTTTGGCGTTATGTGACTACATGTGTACCCACGAATAATCCAATAATTTATATTAAAAATGGTTTTCAACATCATGCCAAAATGAAAATATATTCACAGTTTGAAGCCAATTAGTGGCTTTAATGCGATTTTACTCAGTTTGAGTAAATTTACAGTTTGTGTTTGAGCAGCTGGACAGCAGCGGGAAAGAGCTTCTTTAAAAAAAAGTTTGCACTGTTTTAATGATTTACTGTAAAACTAAAGGTTACAGAATAGTTTTATTTCTATAAAAGCTTCTCTGCCATTATACTAGTTAACATTTAGTACTAAAGGAAGAGTAGGTGTGTTTTCATTTTGGTGAAATGATGGCAACAGATTAAAGAAAAATGGTTGTTTTAAAAGTCTTTGGAGCCTTTGTGTCACCTCTGATTGAACATTTAAACCCCGTTAGCACTGTGGAGTCTATTGTGAATGTATCGTGACTAGTGGGTGAAGTATAGCATTATGTCTTCAGCTCCTGTCACGGTCACACAGCATCATAAAATCAGATATTTGCGACTGTCATCAGTGACTCACAGCATCAGTGTTTCAGCCGAACAGCACAACTAAGTTCACTCAGTTCCCTCTATAGGCCCTGCAGTCTTACGCAGGTTTCCGTCGCCCAAACCCTGAGCTTTAATTCCCTCCATGTTGTTTTTGTGCAAGAGCATGCAACAGTTGCCGTTCTTGCAGGATTTTGTAGGGCGTTTACCTCCAGAACTTTATTGAGTAAAGCTTCTAATGTACTATAACTTCAGTTGTAAGGTTTGTGCTCCTTAATGACATTTTTTTGCAGCTAGTTTTCCAACTTTTCTCACTTTAAAGTTCCTGTTCATTCATCTTCTTAGTTTGTGATGGAGCATATGAAGATTATATGAACTGAAAATTATTTTTTTCAGCTGAAACCACCATGTCGAGGAGATTTTACCTGCTCCCCAGCTAAAATTTTATTGTGTCTTGACTTTTAGAAGGGCTAAAAGTAAACTTTCCCATGCACTTAATCGTGAGGATTTAACGATCCCTTAAATAAAAGTCTCGTAGAACCCATGTGAAGGATGTTGCTGCTGATTTTGAGCAGGCTTCACACAACCACGACACTGTTGTTCTGCAAGAAATGGTTCCAATAACTCCCTCTAAAATCAAAATGTACTTTTTTTTTTAAGTGTCTTTGTGTTTGAAATGAATAAACAGGACACACTAACAGGGTTTTCAGTCATCCTGGTCATAGCTGTCATGCATCTTTCTAGTCAGTGAGGTTTAAAGGTGCTGATTGATCTACTATTGGAGAGAGTCAGGCTCCCTGTTTCCCACTGTTTCCAGTCTTAATGCTAAGCTAAGCTAACCAACACAAAACTGATGTCCATCTTCTTGCCTCACTCTCAGAAAGAATGAGAGCATTTATCTTTACATTCAGTGTAATCGTCTGGCTGAAATCATTTCATTTCATAATTTGAGGAGGCTTGAAGAACCACCTGCAGAAGCAAACGAGCTCTCTCTTGGTGAGACTCAGACAAAATCATGTCAGAACAATCCACAAATAGACGGAGCGGGAGGAGATGATTGACAGGCTGGTTGCAGCTGCTGGTTCAAAACCCTCTGGTCAACAGCTGGGGATCCTTCTCTCCCTTCATTCTTCCTTTGCAGTCTTCTGTCCTTTCCTCTCTCCTGCTACACCTCTGTCATCGCTTGCTTTCCTTTTCTTCCAGCTCTCCATCCCTTCTCTCTTATTCTTTCTTCCACGCATCTTTTCCTTTCTCTTTCTTGTCTTTCTGTCATCTCACTTCTTCATTGCTCTCTTCTCTTTATCACTTCTTCTTCTTCTTCTTATCCTCCTCCTCTCCGTCTTTTCTCCTGCTTTCCCTCCGGCTCTTTCTCCCCATCTTTCTACTGCTCTCTTTCCTCTTTCTCCCGCTTCACCCATGGGGGACGTGGGTGAAAACGAGCCCGCTCACTTCCTCTGAGTCTTCAGAGAGTGTTAACCAGCTCACAAACACACACAAACAGAAATAAACACACACATTCAGAATCCCCCCAGCCTCAGTTTGCCTTATTTGGTTTTTCATAATTGGACAGCTGTGACTCTATCTATCTATCTATCTATCTATCTATCTATCTATCTATCTATCTATCTATCTATCTATCTATCTATCTATCTATCTATCTATCTATCT